TGATTAATCGCGATTAATTGATTCGACACCACTAGTTTAGAAATTCTTGACTATTGAAGACAAACCAGGTTATAATAATTTAACTAAACGGATGTAGTATATTCTTGACCTGAAAACAATAGAAGCTTTTTACAAAATAACTTTTTACAAGTTTAGTGTAGGAACAGAAATAATGCCGCATTGGAGCACCACTTTTTTTTTTTGCAATATATTCAATTTGACATCTTTTTTAATCAAAAACAAGCGACAAAATGAGTTATGAGCTTTATATGTTGCAGTTACGAAAGCACCTCTTCTAGTGGCACCACCTGGACAGTGGTCACCCCCATCACCTTCACATATACAGTTACTCAGACCAAAAACCTTCTTGACCCCAGCAATGACACTCTGCTTTTGGGCCACATCAGAGACACTGAGCAGCTTGAGGCCATACGGTCCAGCACCAAGCCCTTAAAACGCTTCATAGTAATGGATGAGGTAGTATACAATCTCTATGGTTCTCAGGTCACCGACTACCTCGAGGCCAGACACGTCCTGTACCGGATCCTGCCCCTGCCCACAACGGAGGAGAACAAGTCCATGGAAATGGCTCTGAAGATCCTGGAGGAAGTTCACCAGTTTGGGATCGACCGGCGCACGGAGCCCATCATTGCCATCGGCGGTGGGGTCTGCCTGGATATCGTGGGTCTCGCGGCATCCCTCTACAGAAGGCGCACTCCATACATTCGTGTTCCCACCACCCTTCTGTCGTACATCGACGCGAGTGTCGGAGCAAAGACGGGCGTGAATTTTGCAAACTGCAAGAATAAGCTAGGCACCTACATAGCACCTGTCGCTGCATTCTTGGACCGGTCGTTTATACAGACAATTCCTCGCAGGCACATATCTAATGGTCTTGCAGAAATGCTGAAGGTACAATAAAAGTCAGTTTTATTATTACAATTATTGCAATCGCTAGGAGGACCAGTTTCTCAATACTAAGGTCACCTTTTTAAAGGCTCATTGCTTTCTCACAAAATGCATTCGATGACTATTTCTCTCAACATGTTTTCTCACAACCCAAACTCAGGCCAAAGCTATTGAACATAATAGTTCAGAATACAAGACAGCAATTTTGGTAGCACTTTATTTTACTGTCTTGTTCCCAATGTACATAATTAATTACAATAATAACTTAGAATACTTATTATAGTTTTTACAATTACTGGGTAACCCTGAACCTACCCCTAAACCTAATGTAGTTACCCTATTTTACCCAGAACCTTTTCTTAGGCAAGTACTCTGTAAGTACACGTGTTTTTAGGTCATTGTTTTTATGAGTGAGAAAGTGTGTTTGTTTGGTGACAACCTTCGTGTTATGGGAAAAACAACTTGATTTGAGAGATGAGTTTTGTAATGCATTTTGAATGTGAAATGAAATGCTCTGCCAAGCTGAAGAGATTTAAGAAAAGAATCCAAGTATTGAGAAATATGTCCTATCAGCTGTATTTGTATTTGTCAAACCGATTTGAATTAACATATATTTATATTGTTGTAGATGGCTCTCATGAAGCACAGAGGGCTGTTTGAACTTCTGGAAACGCAGGGACAGTTCCTGTTAGACTCCAAGTTCCAGTCCGCTAAGGTTTTAGAAGACGACTGCATTGACCCTGCTTCTGTTTCCACCCGTGTCGCTATAGAAACCATGTTGGAAGAATTAGCTCCAAACCTGTGGGAGGATGATCTTGACAGACTGGTCGACTTCGGTCACCTGATCAGCCCAGAACTAGAGATGGTATCTGTACTTCTTTGAATACACATTCTACTATTTCAAATGGTTGGGTGGGGTTATAAAGGCTTTCCCTCATGATTAAACCATTTCGCCTTGAGGCTTTCAATATTCTTTTGGGTGAGATACATTATTTTAGGAATGTAGAGAGTCTGAAAATTGTCTCAGATTTAGATGCAGTTTCTCCACATTAAAGTACCTGAGACTGCTCCTTATAAAAAATTTTAAAAAAGTATATTACCTCATGTTCTTTTTATGAAGTAAAAAGCAACTATGTTACAAGTGAACTTGTAGATATACTGATAGTTTACTAGTAAAATACTTGTAGCACATTTTTTTTAGTTTATGAAAGTACACTTTGAAGTATATTACTAGTTTAGTTGTTTTAAGGCCCTTGCACATGGCGTCTGAAATTTTCACAAAAATAAATATGACCTCATGTTATATCAATCGCGCTTGGACTCCAAAACTTTCGTCCGTCAAAAAAAAAAAAAAAAAAATCGAATCGGGTTCGATTTCCTGCATTTTTCGCATCCGTAGCAAGCAGTTTGAATGGTGTTTGGACAATTCAGAGCCACTGAATCATGAATACGAAAAAACACATATGAAAATTTCGGACTCAGTATGCAATGTCTTTTATAGTGCAGATTTCCTTTAGTTAACATAACAAACCATCACACTCACAGTTTACTATTTATTAATATATTATTTTTACACTTTTAAGTATACTACTATATTCCTATTTAGGTATTAATGTATACTATTTATATATAACGTTACCTTTAACTGTACTTTTAACACTTTCAATTTAAAACCTTTGTATTCTAGCTTGCATGCATGCATCCTTTTTAATCAACAATTAAATATGGGTAAGTTTTATTAAAAAAAAGAAAAAGCAATTTTTTTAATAAAAAGCTGAGAAAATCACATTTTACCAAAGACTTCGTCCGGGGTCGGTTCAGAACGACGATCAAAACATAGATGGAGTAGGTTGAGTTCATCAAAAAATATGTGTTTTATATTTTATAAATCAATATTTTCAAAGAATTTAAGTTTGTCTGACAGGATGTAAAAGTAAAAATTCAAACCAAGTATTCTTTGAAAACTTAATTACACTTTATCTCGGTCACAAGATTGAGTACAAGTATAGGCCAAATATACTTAGATTTGTCTGTCAGTATGAGTCAAGTATACTTAGGCTAAGTGTTATTTGAAGTATATTTCTGAGAAGTACATAATAGGTGGACTGAAAGTATACATTCTTATTTTTAGTTTAAAAGAGTATACTAAAGCACGCTTGAATAAACTTATTTTTCCTAAGGCATTGGTTTTGCACATGCTAAATGCACCTGTAGTACTTAGTCATCCCTTTTTCCATGTTTTAGAAAGTCCTACCAGCTCTACTCCATGGCGAAGCAGTGAATATTGACATGGCGTACATGGTGTATGTGGCACGTGAGATGGGGTTGCTCACAGAGGACGAGAAGTTCAGGATCGTCTGCTGCATGATGGGAATGGAGCTGCCGGTTTGGCATCAAGACTGCACTTTTGCTTTGGTGCAGAAATCTCTAAGTGACAGACTACAGCATTCTGGAGGACTCGTGAGAATGCCTTTACCAACAGGCCTCGGAAGAGCAGGTAATACAATACAACTAGTGTTTGTCGAAAACAGACTGAAGCAATTTCATGTATTTATTTTGACATTGTTTTAACAAACTTATTTTGAGTTTGAATAATTCACTAAACAAATAAATTACTATACAATTATTTTGTAAATTAAGTTTACATGTATCCCTACGCTACCTGAAACTTGTATGTCAGGTAGGAATATGACTTGAGGTTATTAAAAAGAAAAGATAAAGCACCTAAGGGGAATTTTTAAGGCATTGTGTGAAGTGATTAATCTTCTGGCACTGTTTGCATGTCTGTCAATTACTGGAATTAAAGTCATAAATATTGAATGCTTTGGAGAACAGATATACTGTAAGTTTGGTCTCTTTTTTAAGACAACACTTGGCAGATTGTTGTTTTACTCTAAAAAATAAAAGTCATAAATCTAAACAAGGTGTGTTCCAATTTTGAGTTTGATATCTCAAAAAATTAGCTTTCAGTAAGAACTTTTTAGTTTTTTAAGAACGTTTCTACGAAAGCATATTGCATTCACTTGAGGAAACAAAATCTACTCTGTTTTTCAGAATTAACGACTTAATTAACGAGTGAATTACGAGATCATTTTTCATGGAAAAAAAGTTTTTGTTCTGTTTTTCTGAATTGTTTGTTTCCTCAAGCGAATGCAGTATGTTTCCAATAAATGAAATTCGTCTCCCATTAATTTGCAATGCAGTCGTTTTGGACCACAAACAATACAAGTGTGACCATTTAACCTTTTCGAAAGTTTTCAAAGGCTTATCACAGCAAGTGCCAAAACCTTTTCCAAGTTTTGTATAATTCTGATGAAATAATAAAAAATAAAAAAAGTATTATTTTTTGGTCAAAAATGACTGAACAGCACCAGAAGGTTAAAGTAACATGATTTGGAAAAAAAGTAAATATTCTTTCCTCATTCCTCTCTTAGAAATCTTCAACGACACCAATGAAGACACTCTATTCCGAGCGTATGAGAAGTGGTGTGATGAGCTCAGCACTGGTTCACTTCAATGAGGTCACCTCACAGATGATCTGACACCAATGTTTACATATGGGGATCCTCTTAGCTTTAACAATTTCTACTTGTGTACTATTCTATGACAGCTTCTATTTCTTTTTTTACTTTGTATACAGAAAACTTCATGTACATCATGGGCATTTAAGTGTTTTACATTTAAAACAATTGCTTTTCATAACTGTTAATGCCATTTTTGTAAATGGTCATGAATAGAAGAAGGCTGACTTGATATGTAAAGATCTTTCTATTGTTGTGTTAAAGGAGGTTCTTTACCACCATTTCATATTAAATAAAGGGACATTTCGGTTAAATCGTGAAATCATGCATTAAAACTGTAATAAAGTCTACCTAATGTGTTTGATGTAATGCATGCGAGTTTATAATAAACAATGCACTTATTAACAACAAGACTGTTATGAAGAGAAAGATATTATGTTTGAGAGCCTATGGGAAACATGACACCATTGGTTTGGTATTCAATGCATGTATATTTCTGTTGCTTTTGTCTTCATAAGCCTTAAAAGCAAAAACAGCACTTCATGCAGGATTTTTTAAGGAAGTCAATTTAGAGAAATTTAGAGAAAAATGCATACATTAAGGATATTACAGTACTGTATATTTAAAAATGACCTAACAATGCATAAATAGAGATTGAGAAAATGACTACATTTGAATCTGATATAAATGTTCACTCCTGTCTTCATCAACGATTTGTTGCATAAATAAAACTACACCACTTTTGAGACTTTATTTGACCTTTAAAAAATGGAAGTAGACTTCCATCAATTGCAGTAGGACTGCCAATGAGCTGATATATACAAAGGCAACAATTGTAATTTAGCTGTTCAATAGCAAGTCTTTCATACATTATCATAAGTCAGGATTTTGACATTCATCCTACTGATAATGTTAGTATACTGTCTAAGCCCATTGCACATAATAATCACAGATTACTGATTAAAAACAGTGCCTGACTGATCAAATCTGCAATGCTAAATATTGTACTGAAATCAAACCAGACAGTGACAGTACAAATCTAAAATGTTCCAAATTTCCAACAACTCTCTCATGGTTAAACGAGGAATCTGACAGGCACACAGACTTCATACCTGTATGTTATGACCATTAGATGGTAACCACTGGCCAACATGTTTAATTTTATCATCAACAAACATTTGTTGAAAAAAGTTCAATGAATTAATGCTACAGATTGGAAGTACTAAATTAGATTGCTGCTATCAGACCTCTGTGTTTCTCTTTTTCAGCAGTCTTGCTTTGCATTGAACTGAACATGCCTAGACATGTGTTACTGGTTGCTCCACCTCCACCAAAAGTACCCCCCCAAAAAAAAAAAATGCATTTGTAGACAATATCAAGCCAACTCTAGCTGTTTATTCTAGCTATCCTGAAGAGAAATCCTGTGGTAAATCAAGAAATTGTTAAAATCAGTCATTCTTAACTAGTAAACTCAAAAATGATATATGAAAAAAAAAACATATATACACTAAATATTCAGAAATACAAGATAAGTATTGTACTTAAAAGTGCTCTTAATGTTACACGTGATCTGGATTGTAAGGAAACCACCTGAATGTATCATTGGTACAGCAACAATTAATTATATAAAAATATCTAATCGTCTAACTTTGGTTCGTCGAAGTTTGTCTGCAATGCTAACAGCCGTTTTCATGTTCATCCATACTGCTGCTGTCGGTGCTGTTAGATGGGACGGGGGAGCCGGAGTATAGCAGGGGGTCACTGCTGCCCACTGGAGACAGGGTGTTGTCCATAAGCATGTCGTCCAGCTTGGCAGAGGTCTTGTTGGGGCTGTCGTAGACCCCCGGTTCTTCTTCCTCCGTGGGGCTGTCGTTGTAGCTGATGGTGCCGCTGTTGAGGTCCAGAGTGGTGGGACGGGATATATCAGGACTGGGGAGGTGTGCGTACAAATCGGACGTGCAGTTCCCCATTCCGGGCTCTTGTTTGATAGCGCGAGCCACCAGGTCAGAGGAATAAATGCTGGTAGAGGGTAAAACGGCGAGTCCATGAGCACGGGCTTGCATCTCAAGTTCCTGGACACAACCAGAAACGACAAATACACACTCTTTAGGATAACAGCGTTACTCTAAAAAATGCATGGGTGCATGAAAAGTTGTGCGTTTAAACAGTAGGGACATTGTGAACCAAATGCCATGTGTCAAAATGAGGGAAATTCCCCATAATGAATTACTCGAGTGTAACTTTTGAATTTCACGCATCTGAAGCACTAGGCATAATTTATAAGCTTTCAAATTAATGTTACGCTTGGTTTTTTGCCATCTAACTTCAAAAAAAGAGAAGCATTTTGTCAAAGGGCATGTGGAAACATACTTCTGACATGTCTGATCATGTGACTAGCTGCCATGAACTTTCAACCATCGCAGTGAGTAGCTTTAGTTTATCAGTTGGTTTACCTGAATACGAAGCAGGAGATGTCTGTTTGCATGTTCTAGTCTCTTTTGTCTGTTTTCCAGCTCTTTTGCTTTCTGCTGCTCTTTCTGCAGTTTCCTGATATAATCCACTGAAGCTTTCAGGATGGTCCCCTTATTCCACCTCATGTCCCTGCAACAACCAGAGCCAGATGGTTATCCCAACATTTTCTGATAAAGGTCATGCTGGTATAGATCATAGATGCTTAGGCTGATACAGAATATATGTAATTGTAATGTTAACCAAAGCTTATTTTAATTTTAAAATATATATTTTTTTTAGACTTACGGATCATTTGACTTGGGAATTAATGTCCCCAGCTCCTTAATTCTGTCATTAATATTAAAACGCCTTCTTCGTTCAACTGTATGGATGTAAAAGCCAACAAAGATTTTAAATATACAAAAAAATAAATTATGTGACAGACATTTTAGCACATATTTCAGATGTTTATGCATATAAAATGGTGATTGAACTCACTGAGGTTGTGGTTGTCCTTCTTTTGTCTCTCTTTTGCCAAGGCTCTGACCTCTGATTCTGAAATGCGTAGTTATATTAACTGAAACAACTTCATAATTATCAAACTTTTCAAACTTCAGAGTTCACAGTTCCTTCCCTAGTGTGCCAATGTATTTTTAATGTGTTGCTGTTCACTAGAAATTCTAAAAAGTAGAAAAATAAATGTAAGAATGTGTCTGTATAGCATGTTTTACAAGTGTCCATATTGTGTGCAATTACTGTCTTAAGTACACAGGTGATTTTTTTTACACACCAACTGTGCATTTTGAAAATATTTTTTCTCGACTTAATGTGTGTAAAGATAACTTCAAATGGAACGTTGACACGCATGTTAGATCTTCAAACTAAAAATAATTGTATAGATATTAATGTACAGTGTCTGGACAAGAAACAACAACACTTCATTCATGCTTAGGGCCGTTCAGAGGCCGAGGAATGGAAAACATACCTACTGGAAAGCCTTCAGGCCTTTGATAAGTGTCAAACTTGCCACATGGTCCAGACTTGTCCATTATGTGCATCATGCCAGGTGCTGGGGTAACTATTTAATACAATATATCTTTCATTGATATTGTGCATTCGAAAGTGCACACAATATGGATACTTCCATTTCTAAGCACAGTGGGCTGTGAAATGGTAACCAAAAATGATTATTTACTCTAATGATAGATAATACGGTGTGAATATACCGGATAATTCCCTTTTGACGGATGGCAGGTTAGAGCAGGAGTTGTTAATGGGAACCCCAGCATGATTGTTGTACATGTCCAACAGGTTTGCAGAAACTGGAATCTGAGAATTTAGATCCAAAAAGATTTCAGTGCATGCTCTGACTGTTCAGGTGATTATATGAATCTTAAATAACATGACACTACAATCCTTAGGGCTGTTACCGCATTAGTCATTTGAAGTCCTGCATCCATGAACCCCAGAATATCATCGTTGTAGCTCGATTCCAAACTTATGATGTCTTCAATTACGTCATCCATCTGTACCAATTCAAAATATAAGTTCACATCACCTTGTAATAAGTGCTTAAATCCCAAAGTATTAATTAGATCCATGTTAATAAGAAAGCCACAATGGTTAATAGAAATGCCAAATTAATATTATAATGGGCCATGAAAGATGATCATACACCACATACATTAATAATACCCAGCTGTCACCTTTTACTTTCCTTAAAGCCCTTAAAGCACTTATATACAGTAGTTCATCAATCACTCAAAGACATAGAAATGGTGAGAAACTATTTAGTAATGCAACTTACACAACTTGCTTTTTTTTAGGTCAAACAGGCCCCACCACGCAGTTACTTAATACTCTTAATCATTTTTAACCTTGATAGTGATGTACACTTTTGTTCATAAGTTGGGGGTCAGTAACATATTGGTTTTGAGTGAAATTAATACTTTAATTCAGCAGGGACACATTAAATGTCAGGACATTTATAATTTTACAAAAAAAATTCCATCTAAAACGAATACTGTTCTTTTGCACTTTCTATTTATCAAAGAATCCTAAAAAAAAATGCTATTCACAAGCTTATTAAGCAGCACAACAACACTAATAATAATAAGAAATGTTTCTTGAGAACAAAATCAGCGAGCAATGGCTGCTGAAAAAATCAGCTTTGCCATCATAGGAATTAATTGCACCAAAAAAAAAAAAAAAATCAAATAGAATAGAATTTTACAGTTATTTTAAATAGTAAATATTTAAATATGATAAAAAAAAATATTACTATTTTTACTATTTTGATCAAATAAGTGCTAAATAATTGCAAACCTTATTGACTCCAAAGTTTTTGAAGGTGAACAATATGATGAATAGGTGACTAATATGAACAAAAACTAATGATTCATAGGATTCTTGTTTACCTTTGCCCTTTTGCTTATTTGTCTATGGACATTATTCACAGGAAAATGCCACATTTTGACACCTTACTTTGGCAAAATTGAATCTAATTGACATAACTGGCAACGCCAGGTTTTGCATCTACCTCTTTCTCACAGTTGAGGGTGAGAAGGGCCATGGGGCTATTAGGAGCGCTGGCTCCTGGTCCAGGGGGCATGCCGTGTTCTGTGGGCTGGCTGGGGCCGGGCCCTGTGTTGGCCTGTGGGCTTAGCTTGGCTCCCAGTGCACTGGACAGGTAATGCTTCACCTGCTGCCTCTGGGTCTGATGGATGTGGTATTTCGATGGGCTTTCCAGGTGGGTCTGCACCTGAGTCACAAACAGAGAGGTGATGCCAATACATATCACAGACTGAATCCGAATTGCTCCGTGTATTGCAAGCATGCTTTTAAAACAAGACAAAAGCACAGACTTGGCTGTGAGGCTGAGAAAGTAAATTCAAGAAACACGGTAGTCTAAACAGAATTAAAACAATACAAACAATTCTCTAAGTCAATACACAAAGTCTCATCTCACCTGGTAGTGACTGTACTCTAGCATCTCCAACATAATTACAACTAATTGTTAGCGTAAATATATTCCCTTTGTGGATTCAGTCTATGTTGTGCAAGAACTGACCCGTCGTCTTAGCCAGTTGAAGAAATCAATGGAAACGAAAAGAAGGAAAATGTTTTTAAGGGGCTGGGAGGGGATTGCTGTTCTCATATTGTTTTTTAACCCAACGATGAATTTCTGCCTTTATAAAGTTCATTTGACGTCATCAGTCGAATTACACAAAAGGCTCTTTGACATGATGGGTTACTAGTGTCTAAACTGAAACTGGCTTACGGCTAACTAACGTTTCATCTTTAGTTCCACTCGTTCTGCATAAAACATTGTTTGTTCTCAGCATCCGGCATACAATCAAAACCACTGTTAGTCTAAAAAAAAAGACAGTTTAAGATGGAGTTATCTCTAAAATGTTGTAGGGGGGAAGAAAGGAAAGAGAACTTTGTTGCCTGATGGGCCTTTGGTTATTGCCTTTTTTTTAATATTGTGCAAACGTATATACGTGCGCACAAAGAAAGTCACAGATGTACAAATTGTTCGATTGAACCACTGGATTAGGACCTACAAAGTCAATAAAAGTTGAGTGTTCTGTTATCTGCATACGAGCTGTTCCATAGTAAAAATAAAACTGTACAAAGTTTCATACTATATACTACAAATCCATTAACATATTAACTGACATACCACTTGAGACTGATTTAAATATTATAATTAAACTTTATTTGAAGGACTTTATTGCACTAAAATGTGTTTTAATATCACTATTAGTATGATCTCTGTATAATATCAGTATTTAAATGCACCTAAAGTATTCTTGCAATAGTTCCATTTTAGCATCAAATCATTAAGTAGGCCTACATCTTTAATTGGACCTCAGCACTATTTCCGGGTAACTAAAGTGCATTAACTACAAAATTAGCAAGTACTTAATTTAGCAGATGGTACACCAAAAGTACAATTGCAGGGTATTTATATGAAGTATATAAATATGTGAATGACTTCTCCTGTGAAAACATTCAGAACAATAATCCTCAACCAAGCATTTCTCATGTTTTAGTATCTTTTTTACATTTTCACAAAAAGCTAAGAAAATACATGTAAATATAAACAAATGCTAACATGCATAGACAAAACGTTGTTTAATAATCACTTATACAATATTTTTTGTGTGTGTGACATAACATTTAGCGAGTCTGCACGAAGCATGTGCATGCAATACAATACGCAAGTTTTCCAAACACAAATTAAAATTGTTTATACATGCCCATGACCTGCTCATAATAAGCATGCCTCAACACAAGTGCCTCAGGGACTTGATAATATGGGGATTTTATAATATGAATCTGTTAAACCACATAACTGTTGTCAGTTGTTTAAAAATCAATAACGGAAACAGGCCGGATCCATGCACAATAATTGGATTTATACAAAACCGTGTCATGTTTTCATTCTTTCTTTTTATCTTATATCTTGATATACAAAAAAAAAAAAAAAAAAAAAAAAAAAAAAAAAACATGATCAAGTAAAAATGAATAGCATCTTTCTGATGGACCCTTCATTAATTTACATTATATCCACAGATGATCAAGTGTCATAGTCTGCATTATTTCTGTGGAAAAAAAAAAATAATTAATTATAGCTACATCAACTGACTTCAACAAAAATAGTTAACCAAAAATGATTACATTTGTAAATATTACACTGTAAAAAATATTTTCAAGATTTGTTATCACAACATATGAAGAGTTCAGATGCAAAAGCCTCTAAGTGCCATTTGAAATTTTCTTCTAAAATGATCATTTTTATCAAGCTTGTATATTTAAGTTGATGTAATTTCACTTAAATGGCAATGAAGATTACCTATTAATTGTCATTTAATTGAAATTACTGAACTTAAATATACAAGCTTGATAAAAAATGTCATTTTAGAAGAAAATTTCAAATGGCATTTAGAGGCTTTTGCATCTGAACTCTTCATATTTTCTTTTGTCAAATCAACTTTGTAATAATTTATTTAGTTGAGATAACTTATTATTTTGAGTTTATGATGATTAAATTAATATCCTTCATTGTATTAACTCACTTTTTCCAGTTCAATCAACTTAACATTTTAAGGCAACCCAGGTTACTTACTTTTTTAAGTTAAACCAACAATATTTTTTTTACAGTGTAGTAATCACAACATTTTTTCTTTTGTCAAATCAACTTAAATAATTTATTTAGTTCAGATAACATACTGTATAATTTTGAGTTTCTGATTAAATCATTCTCCTTCATTGTATTAACTTACTTTTTTCAGTTCAATGAACTTAAAATTTTAAGGCAACCAGGTTACTTTTTTAAGTTAAACCATCAATATTTTTTTACAGTGTAACACAAACACAAGGAATACTTATAATGATTGAGCATTTTTAGCATGCAATAAATAAATGGCTGAATCTCACACACATAACTATATTATATTAATTTAAAAAAATCATATTTGTGTTTGTGTGTGTGTACGTGTGAGGCCCACCCATTAAAAACTGTCCCTGTACATTTTATTTACTGATTAGGAATCAGTTCAGCATTTCACACTATTTAACTTAAGGCATGCTTTCAAATCAGACAAGCATAGCATATTAAAAAGTTGCATGATTTATTAAAGATGGTAAAGTATTGATATTTTATAGCCTACATAATGACACCATGAGACACAAACATCATTGAAAACTCTCTTCTGGTAAACTATAGGGACAGTATTTGTCACAACAATGTGACAATTGTTATTCAGAATCCCTGCAGCAAAGGAAATAATTCCAAATTTGTATGGATGCATAGATTAAAACAGATTGTAGGCATATGCAGAACATGTACAAGTGGAAATATAGTCAATACTTCCATTTTGTCATATTTTGTTATCAGGGAAGTCCCAAAATAATGAATCAATTTATATATGCATTCATATTTAAAGGTGCACTCACATCATAAAAATGTGTCACGTGTGGATTCCATGGTCAAAAGCGTGCTCTGGACCATAAAAACGTTAGTCAGACCACATAAGAACACTCTTCTTTTTCTTATAAGGGAAAGTCTTTGTGCTTTTCTTTATTCTCACTGGTACTTTCCTCCTTCGGCCCAAACCCCCTGGGTTCAATAAAGAGTTCCTGCTGAAGAGAAGCAGTATTCTCTAAATGCCAGCAGCTACTGTGTCTATAGAGAGATTCATAAATTCTAAGTAATTTTATCATATTCCCATAGGAGAGTGGTTGAGTAAGGTGATAGTAAGTAGTCAAACGTGTCCTTTAGGGGTTGGTGACATTTTGTTGATAACTCAAGGCTGCTAAAGCGTTATTGTCTTGGGTGCTGAATAGATGTTTATCAAAAAACATCAGACATATAGTAACTCTAAAAGCAACAATTAAATGCATTCAAATGAATATAATACATTTTTTATTTTATTTTTTGAAGGCAGAATGGTGTAGTTAACTAAACTAAATAAAAATGTGATTACAAACTTCAAATACCAATACTTCAGCAGAGCTTCAAAATAAATGCAATGCAATTCACATTAAAAGGATGTAACAGTCTTCAAAAACAGCAGACTAGCAGAAGCTTATTAAACGTACAAGACGTGCAAAGTTTTGAGTCAGTCACATGGAACAGACTTGTTTGATAATATTTTATGAATAACTGAATTAAATAATTAAATATCAATCCATTGGCGTTGGATTGCTGACCAGCAGTAAAAATGTAATGTAATGTAAAATACTGCAAACTATCTATATAACTCAAGGAGCAATTTGTTACATCTAAATCATGTTTGATTTACCCCTGAATATGGCCTATGACAATTAGGACTCTGATAAATGAATTAACTTCAATTGTTTTGTCTATGAGTATATCAGTATAAGTATCTTCCGAATGTTTTAGTTCAAAGGAAAGCACTAGAGCCTCCGAGCATCACTTTGAGCGGCGAGTGAGTCATGATCTCCTGTTTTAATGTAAATGATATGACAATGACTCTCTCGCTCTCTCACACACACACACACACACACACGGAAAACAAATAAATAGTTTGTATTTGGTTTCATTTTCAGTAACATGCCCATGTGTCAAATCTTTTCTTATGCAAGTATGACCCCCCCACCCCACCCCAAGAAAAATATCATAAAAGATCAGTTAGCGGGTCAAAGTTCAGACAACTTACAATGGTGAAATTGGTTAGAGTAAAATTATCTGAACCACACACAAAATGTGCATGACCAACATACAGCTTGTTTAAGACAACAGACACTTTGTAGTGATGTATGTCTCGAGACCAAGACCGGTCTTGAGACATACATCACTTTTACGTGGTCTCGGTCTTGTCATTTCGTTTTAAAAAATATAATTATGTATCTGAAAGTTTAAGAATGGATTCATTTGGAGACTTAGAAATCGGTAGAGATAGGCAGGCAATGCAAAAGAAAGTCTTAAAAGTCTGTTTTTTCCCCCTCCGGTCTCGACGATGTCTCGGTCTTGGTCTCGATGCCCTCTGGTCTTGGTAGTGTCTTGGTCTTGGTTTAGGTGGTCTTGACTAGTCTAGCACTTTGTAGGTATGAGAGAACATTTGTGGAAAAGAAAATGTGCCATTTATAAAACTGTATAAGCATGTACGATGCATGTGCATATATGTAAACGAAAACGTAAGTGTTTAAAACTCACAAACACAACAAAAAAATGGCATTTTATTTTAAAAGAAAGTTAGCATAAGAAAATTCTAAAGGTATTTAGGCACTTTCTGTTTGTGGAATATGTTCATATGATACTAAATGTATCTACTATGGAAACTTTAGAAGAACTGACGGTAACGCTTCCTTTTACAGTCCAGTTACTCATGTAAATACTATGTACTTATTTTAGTAACTACAATTACTGGGTAATAACTAGTACTAACCCTGAACCTACCCCTAAACCTACGCCTGTTCCATGTACTTAGCTTATATTAGCCAGTACTTTCTAGGTAAGTACACTGTAAGTATACTTTAAGTACTGTACTGTAAAAGGAAGCGTTACCGAACTGACTTCATACACGCACAAAAAAAATATTAAAAAGATAGTGAAGTTAATTCTAATGAGCATTTTAATTGATTGCAGATTCCTTCGCTTGATTTTTTTGTTA